GCGCCGTGATAGTTTGTTTAAGGGGATTATTGAAGGCTCTGTGCAGTGACGTATTTAGGACTTTTCCAAGGAGGATCGATATAGGAGGGTATGGATATATACAATATAAATGTTATATTTACTTACATTCTATACGATTTTTATTTATTTGTTAAAGTTGGTGTAAAAATATGTGGATTAGATTTTTTCGCGGATACACGGCTCAGTCACAAAGTGAGTCTTATAAACGGCGTCTGTATAAACACACCCGACAAATTCAATCGTGTAAATGATATAGGCCCTATAACCCTTGTACTAGGGGTTGAACTTTTAAACCTCCAAAAAGCACATCATTGATAATACAGTAACGGGGTAGACATTTCGCAACCCCCCCCCCGGCTTCATTTGATGGGGTTTTTAGTTGTATTGAAAACTAAAAAAAAAAAAACACCCTCCTTCCGCAACAATACGGTGCGATTCATATGGTCCAAATACTTCGGAATACGCCTGCACGCAACAACTTTATTAATTATCGAGTTAAAAGTTTGGTCCAGAAGGAATCGCTAAAACTCAAAAGTATCGCGGGAAAGTGATGTATATAAAACAAATAATAATACTGCAGCACAATATTACCGTTCGTATTTTCGAGGAAAATCCGACAGAGAAAATGCGCTCGATTTTGGAAGACCCGCGGGAGGGGGGGGGGTCGGCGGATTAAAGTCAACGGCGATTAATATCGTAATCGCCGGTGTGATTTCGATATTTTCAATATCGATGTTAAATTCCTAGAGATTCGACGCCGACGCGTTATCCGGTGTAATCACACGACGCGCATTATATTTCACGTAAAAAAAGGATATACTATAAATTATCGATTACACGAGTTCCGCGCTTATCCGTATACAATATTATACAAAATTACAAACCCATTAATTCGTCGTCGCGTTGACGTTTTTATTTCATTTTAAGCGCATATACACTGCGTGCGTGTGTGCATAATTTACATTAACACTACGGCTATAATAAAACAATATATTATTTCGAAATAAAAATCGAAAACACGATATTCCGGAATAAATCGTGGCGCTGCATTGGGATAGTCAAAACGATTAACGCCGTTCGACTATACAGTGATAATGGTTTTTTTTTTTTTTTTATTATTATATTCGTTTAGTTTTTAACGCGTTGTATCGATTTGTCTGAACAAATAAAATATTCTCGCGTACAACAATAATAGTAATAATAATAACATGCGCACGCGTATCCGTTTTACAAACGATAAAAACCCGGACGTGTCTCGCACCATGGGTAGGCCACTGCAGTATATAGTATACGTGTTACATTTTAAATGTACCCCGTACACTACGACAGAGAGTAATAACGATTAATTTTATTATTCCGAAAGCAACTGTAAATCAATCGCAAATTCAATAGTGCTGACCGTGTTTCCCTCCCTCCCATGTAGCCGAGGTAACCGAATCGACAACCGATGTATCGACATTTTGTCGTCAGATTTTTAAATTGCCATCGAAAAAACCGTTGAGAATCTAGATACGCCTTTTATTTTTTCAAATAAAATACTACCGTGCGAAAAATCCTCATATTTTGGTGCGAAAATCGGTGCATTTTTACTTGCCGAAACAAATGTTTTCCGTTAGACGAAAAAACACCTCCATCTTCGTTAAATTTATAGTTTCTTCGCTGCGTTCAAATTTTAAAAACGAACTGTAACTATAGGCGAAACTAGACCGCCAACTTTGGGGATGTTCGAATTATAGGCGCATCACAGACCCTTCTTGGCAATGTACCACAATCCTCTTTACGCGACACTTATAATAAGCAACTACGCATTTCATTTGTAATTTTCTACATACAAATGTATCATTTTAACTTAATGTTTTTTACACACACGCAATTGTCTGTAGGCAATCTGTATTTTTTTTCTGCTCGCAAATTATCGACGATATAAAAAAAGCTTAGTGAGTATTTTCGAGAGCGTTAAAGATCCCCTAGCACCCCTACCCCCTAGTTTTGCCTATGCCTAGAAATAATTATATTGCAATCGCAGCAAATTACAGTAACACCATAATATATAGGTACTATAAATATGTTAAGTTTTTAATTTTATGATATGTGGTTCAAAGCATCCGTATTTCACCGTCGCATAAAAACTTAACGTAATATTGTATTCGACGAGGTTTTCTTTTTATTTATCGACAGCTGGAATATTATAATGTATAAATGAATTAATTCAGATTAAACGTTATACGAGTATAATGATAAATTATGAAATCCAAATTTCAAACGAATCGCTTTAAATGTTTCTACATGCCGCAATGGTTTGAACGTTCAATGATGCGCAGGGAAAATAGCTACGGAACCGGAACATATAATATTATATAATACATGCAACAGGAAATACACCATATTGCTAAAGAAAAACGATTCTGAGCAGTGTATTATTAGTCGTATTGTTTTCCTTGTGGCCAAAGTAACACGGAATGGGCTAGAAAAAAAAAAAACAACCCACGTCTTGGATTAAAACCAACACATTCTCATCGTTTCGTTCAGAATCTATAAAACCGCCGCCGCCACCTCCAATATACCCATTATTATTATTAATGTTATTATTTTATACCGGCCGCAATATTATCTGGAATCCTATAAATTACACGGACTATTTAAAAAAAAAATAAATACCAGTTTTAATCGCGTTGACGTCGTCGTCGCGCGTAAATCGAATAATGTTGTTTTATTTAAATTGAACGGATATATACCTGCTTGTCTGCAAATACGATACCGATTGCCGACGACGGAGGAGTTTATAAACGATCGAAAAATCTAATATGTTAAAACATTATGGGAAGTTTAACGTTATAGTTTTATATATTTGGGCGTGCGCGCGTGATGCAACGGAAGACTGTATTTTCGAAACTTAAAAGCCGAGACGGCACTTTATGTACTATATACGCAACGGCCGTCGGTATATTATCGTGAAAAACCCGACGCATTATACGACTTTTTCGCCCGCGCCTTTGTAACGTATAAACATCATATACCGCGCGCGAAAAGCCCTTTTAAACAACGTCAATAAATCACAAATAAACACGAAATGTATCAAATCCGTCGTCGACGCCACTACGCGGACGATAATATTATATAAATATACGGAAAAGACTTCTGGATCTACAAACGGCGGCGAAGGGGGCACGGAGAATGCATATAAAGCGTATTATATATATTATATTATATACGGGATGTACTCGAGAACTGTAGACGATTTTCAACTGTTCTCCATCGATATAATATCATAATTAGCGATTCACTACGATTTACAATAATAGCAAATTCTGAACCGGGACGGTACTTTAGAGAGGTCGTTTTTTGACCTCCTTTTCCCAGGAGTTTTCACAATAAATGGGAAAAAACAGGAAAATATAGGTACACTATTAAACAAATATATTGTCAAAGAAAATATATTATAATGCATTTGTAATTATTTTACCATAATATGATATATATATATATATATATATATACAACAAAGTAACACTATTAACCGAACTCAGCTAAGAATCGTTTTTCGTTAGCCACGGTTAATCGTTGTGTGCAGATAAATTTTCCTCTCTATACCTTTCCAGTTCTTCTCACCTACAACAGTGACCCGCCCACGTACGAAATATGTATTTTTTTTCTCGAGTCGTCCTAGTGAATTGTGTCGCTTTTGTACGCGGACACAACCGTCGACGATATTATTTTTCATTCCCGCGACGATTTCGTCACGGCACTATTCCGTCCATATACTACTCGATCGAGACGATGCCACTCTCTTCTTCTCCCTTTTCTCCTTCGGTAATTTGCGTGTGTACATTAAATTCCGACGCGCGTACATTATAAATACCTACGCGCCCTCGTCGGTTTTTCTTGTTTTCGGTTTATAAACCCCGTACGTATACAGAACGCCCAATTAGACGCAATTTGCATTTGTACACATACAGCCGCACACGTTTTGTTTGCATACACCGCGTTCGTCGGGAGCGTGTGGGTACTTATGCGTTTAATCATCGCGAGTCGATCGTTCGCAGACGGGCCGCGAGTTTCCCGACACGCGCTTTTTCGTCTCCTCGTCGTTTTTTACATACGCGCGTTTTCGGTGACGATTGGGGAATACAACGGCGAGAGCGCCTCACCGTACCGGAAACGCTACTCTCGGATATCTCTCTCACTCCCTCTCTGTCTCTCTCTCTATCTCTCTCCTTTTCTCGCAGTCAACGATGGTTTTAGACGGGTAGGGGGATACCTTTCCACTCCACTTCAACGTACGTCATATTTCGGTCGAAAAAATATGTGAATTTTAGCCACGAAAATCTTCATAGTTTTGCCAAATCGGCAAATTATAATTTCCAACATTATCAAGTCTCTATAATCGAATTCATTATTATTAACGTCACGAATCCGTCGTCGTAGAATAATATTGAACGTCGATAAAAACGACTAAACAGACAATTTCTGTTCGTGAAAAGAGCGAAACGGTATGTCAATTATACAGCATTATTTCGTATACAACCAATAATGTACCGTCGTCGGGTGAACAATCCCGCATCTTTTACGGTACGATGCGAACCGTGTGGAGCATTTTTTTTTACCGATCGAGCAAATGTTTTTTTCACGTCTTATCAAAACTACACTTGGCGTCACAAAAATCGCACATCTTTAAAATTAAGTTTCATACGGGCATTTCCCCGAACCAAAACATTTAATCCAAACAATAAAGATATAAATTGAAAGTACAGTTAATGACCTCTTATCCGATAGTAGTTTCATTTCATAAACAATAATCATATTCCGAGTATACGGTGCATTAGGAAAATGTATAAATATACTCCTATCTTATCTTATATTCTTTGGCTATAGAAAAATCAGTTTAAAGTGTCAAATGCAGGTCATTCACTTCCTAAACATTGAAAAGGGCGTACGTGAATACTCTTTAAACAATATTATTTCAAAAAATAACGTATTAAATGGATACAACTGCTAACGATGCCGCTCAAGTGGTAGCATTAATGGAATCAGGGATGCGTCAATGTGATGTTGCACGGCAACTAAACTTGAGCCGTTTTGCCGTTCGACGAGTTTTCCAACGTTATCAAGAGACTGGTGGCTTTATCCGGAGGCATGGATCAGGCCGACAACGCTGCACAACGGACAGAGATGATCGTTTTATTGTCTCGACGTCTTTGCGCAATCGATTTTCCAATGCTATAGAGCTTCAACAGCAACTCCGCGCAACTCGCAGTACAACAGTAAGCACCTCTACGGTTAGGAGAAGGTTAGGAGAACAAAAAATTGTGGCCCGCAGACCTGCTACCGGTCCGAAACTGACTGCACAGCACCGCAAAGAACGGTTACATTTTGCCCGTGAACATTTTAATTGGACGCTTGACCAATGGAAGACTGTGCTCTTTTCTGATGAAACAAGGGTGTGTCTANGCACAAGCCTGTACCGAGGAGACAGTGGAGTATGGAGGTGGATCATGCATGTTCTGGGGCGGCATTTCCATCGATAGCAAGACCGAGCTTGTGTGCGTTTCCCAAACTGGTGGCGCTCGAGGACAAGGATCGCTAACTTCTGATCGATACATTACAGAGATCTTAGAAGAGCATGTGGTACCATATGCGGGTTTTGTTGGAGATGGGTTTATACTAATGCACGACAATGCTCGTTCCCACACCGCATTAATTGTAAAAAATTATACGGAAGAGGTTGGGATCCCTGTTATGAACTGGCCAGCGAGAAGTCCAGACCTAAACCCAATTGAGCACCTCTGGGACAAATTAAAACGAAGAGTGCGGTCACATGATCCTGCCCCAACAACCCTCCAAGATCTTCAATATGCTGTTGTTGCGGAATGGGTGAACATTCCTCAAGAACGCATCGTACGACTCATAACTTCTATGAAAGATCGTATGGAAGCAGTAATTAAGGCAAGAGGAAGTAGCACTAGGTTTTAAATAACATTTAGTAACAGTTTTTTATTTTTATATGAAGTCTATTGTCTGTTTCTGTTTGTAAAACTGTATATCCTCAATACAATTTGTTTTCCTCTTCCACGATTAACTTATTTTTTAAAACACTGATAAACAAAAACACATACCATTTATTTATTTTTCAAGTTTATTTCATCACCTTTCAAATGATATATCATAACAGTACCCTTATATATGATTAAGTGTAGTTAAAATTACTTTGAAAAATAATTTGCAATAGGTGCGATTTTTGTGACGCCAAGTGTATAATGATCGCACGCTCACAACAAGACCGTCTCGACTTGGCGATTCGATTGTTCGTCCCAGATAACTGTCGTCGCATATCTTGTTCTCATCAACAACACGGTACTTGACTGTCGGTCGGGAAAACCGTGCGGCACATCGCTAAAGTTGTCGCTAAAAAAAAAACAAAAAAACGTCGTTACAGCGCCCGTTCTACGGGCCAAAGTAAAGGCCATCTCCGCAGTCAATCGCAGTCTCGCGTAAAACGCCGCTCCGTATTATGTACGGTTTTACATATTATGAGGCGTGCATTGCACGATACGGGAAACGAAACGCGATCAAAGTACCACCCGAGTGAACGACCCGAACGCACAGAAACGGGGACGGTACGGAGGGGCCGCGTGTTGGTATACAGTACACCGTCGGGTGTCGCGCGTTTGGTTGCGGCGAACGCGACATTTGTTCTTTTTTTTTTTTCGTTTTTTTTTTTTTTTTTTATCGGTGACATACACTCGTAATAATAACAACGGCACAATAGTATATTTCCGTACGTCCGGAAGCGGCGCTCGCGGGCATCAATTATTAATCGGACAGCAACGGAAACGCGAACCGTATTACAAGGTGCGGCCGTATCGGCGGCGCAACGTCGAACGCGAGAAACCCCGCGAATAAAATCGCATAAACGACCGATAATAATAATAGTAATAATAAAATTGCGTTGTTAATTTTGCGGAGGCGGAAACGGCGAATAAAACGTATAAATAAATAACGTTTCCCGAGAAATCCAATAATTACGTGTACTCAGCCGATTATAAATAATAAACTTTTTTTTCCCCCGATTCTCTTAGTTTCCGCCCACGTTTGTGTCAATATTATTTTCAATTATATTTTTCTTTTTTTTTTTTTTTTGTAAATTAATTTTTCTCCGAATCGCTTTTTACAGGTACGCGCTTATTATTTTATCATGTATATTTTTTTAATCTCGTATATATTATTACTACGTACCAGGTGATTCATTGAGCGCGAGCAGCTTGTTTCTCAAATGTTCTAAAAAAACAAATTCCGGAAAAAGTTAATACTTTCCGAGATAATGAGTGTACCCACTTAAACGAATCGCTCGGTATATAGGGACAGGTACTCGCTATTTTTTTTTTTCTATTCGATTCGTTTCGTCAATGAATTATTCGCGCCGAATTATTAATATACGTGTACGCCGCGAGTTTACATGTTATTACCAATACAATAATATAGACACTGTAATTATGTACGTATTTCCGATATAAATTATTCAAAAATCCTTCAGCGAAGATCCGGGTTTCTTTCTTCGTCTAATCGAATTTATCGTAACGATCAAACGCGCGTGGCACTCGTGCTTATTGATATTGCATATTCCGTCCCATTAATATTTGAATATTTCCCCCCCGCGGTATTTATTTTAGCGTAATTTTTCCGCTCTGCTCGAACGAAAGATTAATTCCGTAATTGGGGTTTTTTTTTATTATTATTATTAAATTTTTCTTTTTTAATTCAAATATTTAACTGTAAAATATAATATTAATACCGACTCTCGTTTTTCTACACGGGTGGATATTCTATAATACAACCGTTTTACAGTGCTTACAAATCGGTTACGGACGTGTCTCGACTAGGTAACTCGCGCGGCGAGCGGTTCTTTCCGATAGAATCTAAAGAATGCCACAAGAGGGTGTGATTTCCAAACAGGGATTCGACGAACCCCTTCGAAACGATCCTTATATACCCCGAGACGTGTTATGTATACATAACAAATTCGGAAACAACTCGGTCCCCGCGTCGTCTGTGAACTCTACTCTCTGTCTCTCTTTAATGTTATTTGACGGTAAAAACCGCTCTGTATTTCGCTAACGTATTTCAATCATTTTTAGTTCTATACATTTCCTAGTTTATTTACCAATAAGCAGCGATTTGTATCGTCTCGTCTCAGATATCGGTTGTTGTCGTGCAATTTTCTTTTTCTACGTTTAGCCCGTACTTAGCTAATCGGGTATTAAAATGGTATTCTACGTCTCGCCATTCGTCACGTTCACATTTTTCGTAAGTTTTCATTTTCCCTCGTTGTATCGTATCGCACCACAACGAGACACATTACACAACTAACAAATCCAGTAATTGAGAATTATAATAGTAATTAAAAAACCGCTGTTCTTGCCGTGATGAATGCGAACTAGTCTAAATGTAAAACTGGGACAACTGTTCTCTGGTGGATAATATGTGAGTAAGATACCCACGTGGTCACGTCCATATAAGGGATGTCTTTTAGTTTTGTTTTCTTGCTTCCGTCTCTCGTCTTATATTTGACCGTGCTATGCCACATATAGTATTTGCACTTTCCCAATTGGGGTCGGTCGTAAACATCCCGTGACACGTATTCCATTATTGTAATAATGTTGTAGTTAAAAAAAAAAAAACAAAACCATCCGGTGGATCAACAATTTTTCTGGTGAACTAGATACGAGGAACTCTGGACACCCGCATTTACGAATTATTGTGTCTTCGACTTAGAGTATAAAATGCATAATATTATATAGAAAACTGCAGTTTTAAAAATCAACCGTAACAGTGTTTTTTTCGATGGCAATCAATTGTATTCATTATTATACAAATTTCATTTTTCTACAGGCTATACAATAATATAGTTGTACGATGCAATTTTCTTTTTCGGTTTCGACGATTCGACATACAAGATTGGGTATGCATTTAAAATCTAAACGTATTTTCAACAATACTCCAAACCGCCCGAGTGCCGGTTACTCAAAACTACCACGGGATACGAACGATATACGCGTATCGTACCGCATTTACACGCACAAACACTATTAGCACACCACTCCCACCCCTCTACCTCCCCCCAACCATTGCCGCGTGCGGTATAAATGACGAACAATAATGGTTTTCGTATAATATTCAATTATTAATCGTAGGTCAAATCCGTTCGTACAGTTCCTAAGTCGGGGCATCGCGTATATATGGTATATAGTAGTCGTCGCATTAATTATGTATACGTACGCATACAAACACACACACACACCGACGCCGTACTCTTGCGGGTAATGGCTCTTATTTGGCGAGCGAATTGTATATTATTCATCCGCGATGTTTTCCCCTCGATCTTAATTTATAGATTCCCGAAGCGTATATATAATATTACACCGGTATATATTATTGCGGGTACAGGTGTATACAAATGGCCGTACATTATTTATAACCGCGGTACGTATAATGTATACGTGTAATATATTATAGTATGTAACTTTCAACAAAAAATTTAGTCTTTATTCTATAAAATTATATCAGTACGGTTCAACAGGCTCCTGCAGATATAATGGGGGGGGGGAAACAACATAGAATTCGAACTTCGAACTGTTGATTTGATGTCGGTATTGGACAAAATTCGAATACATGGAAAACGATAACAATCGTCGCCGGAGTATGATTAACCAATAGGTTGAAAAGGCTGCAGCTCATAGGGCGCTGATAAATGGGGCGGGGAGGGGTGCAACAAATAATTGTTTTTAAAAACTGATTTATTTCAAACTTGTAGCACTATAAATCGCATAGCCAGACATTTTTTAGGGGGTATTTTGGAGGTTTTAGTGTGTGATGAGCAAAAAGGAAATAAAGTCATCGCCAAATCAACCATTAATCAGGCCCTGTAATTAAGAAGTAGAGACTTGTTTTTATTTTATACCTTTTAGGAAAATCCGAACCTGATCATGACGATTCATACACATTTCATGGTATCTTAAAAAAAAAAAAAAAAATGTATAATATAAAATTATACGATCTCTCGCGTCAGCATAATTTTAGAACAATATTAAACGATACAGATGCACACGCGATAGGCACTGTCATATAGGACGGTTAGGAAAATAGCTAACAGCAGCACTACCCGGGAAGAATTTCGATTTTTTTTCGAAAGCAAAAAAAAAATATTGAATTTTGATGGTTATGGAAAAATGCGGTTCTTATAAAATATCCCAACACTTTGACGGCGTTGACCACGAAGCAATATTTGGAGGAGGGGGCTTCTACACACATAATAGAGGTCCGGGATTCTCTTGAAATTCGTTCGAAATAGAAAATAATAATGTCGTTAATCCGATCTCTTTAAAAAGAGTTTAGATTTCTCTCTCCCCCGGCCGGAAATATTTTCCTGGCGGCTGTCTTGGCCGGACCTATAAATTTTTCGGTTGCGGGGGGATGGGAGAGAGGTGATTAATTTCTATAACGGCGGACCGAAAACTATACACCCGGTCCGCCCCGGCGGCGACCGTCACGAGTTCGAAATCGGAGGGCCGGTTATTGAGAAGTTATAAATTTGTTCGACGGTTTTTCTCGCGTGTGACGACCGCGGCGTAAACTGCTGATATTAATTGTAAACGCGACATTTTACGTGCAGGATGTACGCACTTTTGCGGAACCAGCGTATTAACGTGCGGGTAGCGGGAGAGGTGGTGGTGGGTTCTAAAATAGTGGCGAAGTATTTGCGCGTGCCTACACACACACACACATATTATTATACAAATTATACGCCGCTAGTCACCGGCTATCTGTCTCTCACTCTCTCACTCTCTCTCTCTCTCTCTCTCTCCTCACTCTCTCACTCTCTCACTCTCTCACTCTCACTCTCGTCTTTAATTCGAACAACTTTTCGGCCCCGATACACAGGTAGGTAGGTGCACACGCGCACATTGTCGGAGTGGCATATTATACGAGTATATGGGGTGTACGTGTACGTGCGTGTGCGCACCGCTGCGGGAAGGCGTACCTGTGCGTTCGAAATTTCCAACACACACGGTTTCGCCGCGGCGGCAACTCGAAATGTCGGCGTGCAGCTTTCTTGATTTATTGTTATTATTATTTTAGGCGGCTCTCCGCGACGTGTGTTAAAAGTGAACACGCTTGTTTTGCGAACTTACACACACCCCGGCGGTGGAAAACGAACGCGCGTGCGTGTGCGTGCGAACGCGCGCATAACACATCCGCGTTGAAAACTTTTCGTCATTAGACCTCTGCACTGCCACCGCGCGCGCGCGCGCACACACGCACACCGCACTTTTGCGTATAATAATAATAAAAGCCCGGACAAATAAACATTGTTATAACGGTACTACTGTACATACGCGACTGTACCTATTACGCGCGTAAATAAACGGCGCTGAAGAGCGGACGGACGGACGGACGGACGGACGGACGGACGGCGGGGGACGGGCGCGCGGTGTCGGCGGCGGCGCGACTCTTGCCGCGGATTAAACGGACGCGCGGGCGACGACGGCGACGCGATATTTTCCCCGACAAGCGTGAAATCTACCCCCGAAATAAATTATTCTCGTTTTGGCGAACACGACGAAATGTGTAGCGGTAGTACGCACTCGTACACTACACCGACGCGCCAGACTCTGCGCTGATATCAAAACGGGCGCATAGCAGGTGTACAGTAGTAATAATAATAATAATAATAATAATATCATGCGGTACGGGATGATGCGAAATAGCGACGGCGACGGTCGTATAATCCGCTGCCGCTGCTTGTTCGGCGCGCGATGTGATACACGTTATAATATAATAATATTAAAACCGTGTAAAACCGGAAATTACGACCGAAATGCGACTGACGCCCGCGAACGCGTACCGTACCGGTGTAGTATAACCCGTGCATAACACACGCGAATAATAATTATTAATAATATGACGTTGAACGAGTATAATATACAATATACTCGTTCTCGATTCCGGTAACGTATCGTACAGGTACGGCCGGGACGTTGTTTTTTATATATATATTTTTTTTTTTTTTTTGCCCAGTGAATATCCGCCGCTCTCCTCTCCCGTAAAAAAAAAGCTTCACGAGTTCAATACCAATTGTATTGAACATTATTTCGTCACATATTCTACCGGGTCAATCGTTTACCGTTCATTGTCTGGCGGACCCACAGCAAACGAACAGTCTTACTCTACCCGAACAAATAACAATGACAGACTCCACTGCGTGTCCATTTGAACGCGGAACATATCTTTAAAAATATGTCTCGCGCCCGGACAGTAATTAGGTGTGGCGCGACAGAAACTATGGTTTTTGTTTAACGTGGTTTGTGCGTGCGCGCGTGTGTGTGAGGGGGGGACGGGTATTTTTAAAATTTAAACATTTCGCTCTTCCCCCTTTGTATTCCGAGTGTAACCGTCTGCAATTGTCACCGGATTAACAACGCCGGAAAATACTTTTCGTCCTAATCGATTTGCGCGGTCAATATGGGCGTATTGAACGTAGGTACGTGTACAATTACACGGCAAAGACTCGATAGTTTTTTTTCATTTCAACCCTCCGCCGCGATAACCGCGGGTCAAATCAGACCCGTGTCGAGTTTAAACAACTATTTCATCTACTGTATAATTATTGTTGTAACCCCTTCAGAGCGTGCAGTTATATAATTTAATACGCAGTCAAAATCAATACGTTCGCGTTTGACGGGTTATTTATGCGAACAAAGATTTTTACGTAATCGTTCGTTTTGCGTTTTTTTTTTTTTGTTTTAATAAAAGATCGATAAAAGTATGGTTAAAAAAAAATTATTTTACTGTTATAATAGCCTTTCGTATATAATATACATTTTTTAAACGCAATTTCCTTGTTAACTACAAGTATGGCGTATTCTCGTCAATAATAGACACAGTCATTATAAAATAGATTTCGATATATTCGTGAAAAAAGCAAAAAAAAAAAAAAACAAATTTGTACTCGTTTATTCACCCGAGATTAATCAAGTGAAACTCAACAATAATCTTTAATATCATAAATATTCTAGTGTTTTCGGCCGATTTTTTAATTTTGGTTTTTAGATTTCCAACGTTAAAACGGTCAAATAGATTAGACAGCGACAAATAGAGTTTTGGCGATATAATTTATAAGACGAAATTTCGCATACACACTATAACACTCACAATCGAATTTATTTGTCTACTAACGGGCAACGTAGCGGGAATGCGTTCGCTCTAAAACAAACGAAAATGTCTATAAAATGGAGTTTTTATAAAGATTAGGAAAACCTATATAATACAATTTGCGACCTCTTCTCAAGAGAATATTATATTAGCGCTCCGTTTGGAATTTCAATATTGTTCTGCGAGTGAGCTTGCGTTTATATATTATTATTATTTTTTTTTTTCGATAATCAGGTTTTGCGGAAAAGCGAACGCGCGTATAACTATATTAAAAAAATATTGTTAAAACACGAACACGACAATACGAAAACTCATTAATTATATACTCAACAAGTGCGTGTTTTAGCCGGTATAAAGTGTGTCGGCGGGGTACAGGTATAATAGATTAAAACGCGTTGGTAGTACTTATTCGCTATAAGCGAATATTATTAGCAGCTCGTGTTACAAAAATTATACGTTTGAAATACAATAACGAAGCTTACGTACCTACACACAATCTATATCCGAGTATTCTTGAAATTTTAATTATATATACGCTCACGAACACGGGTCAAAATGCATTAAATAATTATTATTTAATAACGATCAATGATTAAACGATGTTTTAGTATTGCGAGAAAAAAAGTCGAAGTTTTTTTTTTTTTTTTTATATAATTTAATTTCCGAGTTTAATTTTATTTATACTATACAAAATGATATTGGTTATCTACAAACAATCAGATAAATATATAAATAATAAAAAAAAATAAATAGTTTAAAAGCAATTTAAAAAAGTTAAATATTATTAACTAACCCAAAAAATTATAAAACTATATAAAACAAACTAACAATATTAGAACGTTTTAAACGGCCATAGGAATAGCTCGAAAATTTCCAGACTGTTTGAAAATTGTTCAACATCTAGAAAAGGCTACTTTTTAACTGAATTCAAAAAAAAAAAAAAATCGACACTAGCAGAAATCGTTAAGTACATATTTCCGTTTTTCTAATTATTAAGAAAACTTTGTGTACAAAGAAAATCAAAAAATGAACTCCCCAATGTAATCAACTAGGCAAGATTTTTTACCAGAGACCACCCTTACACTTTAAACAATTTATTATTGGATTAAGATTTTTGGTAGAAAAGTTTTTACAGACAGAAACCAAAAACATCATAGTAAAACCAAACCAATACATTCCTCGGAAAGCTCAATATCTTAAATAGGTACGTCGTACAGAAAACTATTATATTCACGTTGTTATGTTTTAATAAGAGGAACCTATAGATAATAAAATCAAATAGAAATCATTCGAATTTCGTTATGTTTTAGTAAAACAATTATTAAAGTTTTCCACGGAAAAAAAAACATCATTATAAAACCAATACATTCCTCGTTCCACTCAGAATCTAAAAAATTAAAATTTGATTAAAAAAAAAAAAAAAAACCATCTCAAAAACAATAAACCAGTACGATTTTTCTTCAATAAGCTGCCGAAGTTCAGATTTTGACAAAAATCTCCATAATTTTTCTCATCTGTATACATTATTTTCAGATTTATACAAAAATTATTACCCATATTTATGTTAAATTTATTTAGTCCCGTTAAAATGTTTAAACATTTGATATAAATAGGATCATCGTTAATTACACTCTGAACATTATTATCAGACTATAATGCCGGGTCGTGTTTTCTACTACCACACAATATTGTTTCAGTCACATCATATCTACATCATATTTATTAAATTATATCAGCTTAATATTCATACTATGGAGTATTTATCATGATAAATTGGATTCGTAATAAAAAAGCTCTTGCTCTTGCTTTTTTTTTAAACAATTTATTCAGACGTACACGAGTGACATTCAAATTACCCCCAGCGTGGTCTTAAGTGAAATAATGGGGTAATGAAATGGAAAAACGCTCACCGTAATGTCGTGTCATCGTGTAATATCTATAGTGATAAAAGCCCGGCTATCGGACCAATCAGAATCGACCGGTTGCGTAACAACGTGTATGGTATGGTTGGAAGGTTGCGTGAAAAGTGTTCCGTAAACTGTCGGTTGATAGTCCGTCGGTTTTGCATATAATTACAGTTATTGGACGGATTACTTTTCATTAAACGTATTCCATTATTCGAATGGGAATGCCGCAAAATATTACAATGTTACACAATAATTCAATGTATTATGTATTATGAAACAATGGCACTTAATTTCAAGTCGGTGTAATTATGTTTGACGTTCGAATAAAGAGTAATGCGGTTTATTTTCAATAATAAAATCTTTAGATCGTCGTAGTCTTTATGATGAATTCCATCCATTTCTAAACCGCCCAGGCGATTAATCAAGATTCGACGAATCGTCATAATATCATTATCTTCGCCGGACTCGTAGTCCGACGAAGACGGGCGATGAAACTGACATTTTATTGATACTTTACAGTTTGTACGTTTTGTAGTCATGTCACAGAACATAATATTCTCCTCGGTAACAATAAGCAAATTAAATTACGTTTTTACGTGATAACGAAATTATAGTCAAATGATAAGGATGTTGGTACACACAGAATATTTTGCGGTCGAACAACAACTTATTATTGGTTCAATAACTCTGTGGTTGATAACATTTATTTATTTGACAGAACGGGCCATGACCGAGAGTCAGTTATCGGTTCTGTAAAGTTTCGTGGGGCCCGACATGAATACTACACAGAGGTTAACAGGATAATGAACAGCGCGTTCCGGGAAGAGAGATCCGGCGAAACGTACCTATATCAAAATAAATTATAATTTCGCGTTATAGACACGTTTTATGTAGGTACTCGAGCATTTCCATTTGAAACAATAATGTTCGTAATTATTTCGTTAGATCCGTTAACAGCTATTTACGATATATACGTATATACAACTACGTGTACTGCAGTGCGAACCCCTCGCTCGGAAGGACACGGTGCAGAAAATTGAAAACGCAGTTCAAACGCGAGTTTAATCAATTAATTACTAACCCTTTTACAATATTATTCGTTACGTACAACAAAAACTTATTATATTTTAAATCGTAATTATTCGATAATATTAACATGTTGAAAAATCGAGAATACGCGTTTGTTAATATTATTATAACGATTATCCGTTATTCGCGTTAAAAAAAGTACATACTGAGCAGAACACCCATGAAATCCACCACACTGCAGTTATGGTATCATTGATAAAAATGTTTATGATCTAACTGCAGGTCATTCGGTTAAGCAACTCTTAAAGTCGATTTTTTTTTTTGAATTTCCGATGAAATGTTCAAGTCGACACGTAAAAAGTCCAAAGTTTAAACTCGAGCTCCCACGTGGAAATCTAAATTCAAATATCCGACGTCGAGGTGCTCTGCGTGTTTTACGTGCAGATATTTTCTCAAAAACGTGTCGTCAATTGTTTTTTTATTGGTTTTTTTTTTTTTTTTGATAGTCAGGGACAAGGAAGCATGTTTAAAATAAAGAACACCGGACAAAAAATTCACATCTTTCGATAAAAGGCTCGTGAATATTTTGGAGTGTTTTTTAAATTTGGAAAAGTATTTTCCGAGAAAAAACACTTGCTCGATCTATATTCATAATCAATATCGGTAGTGAATTTCGCGCAGAATTTGCATACGAAAATATTAATTATACGATATGCAACATATTATTATCGTTGTCCCCGTTTGGTTGGTGAACTTTTGCACAGTTATTGTCGGCGTTATAAAATGACACAAATATTGTGTGACGCGTTATTTTAGGAACTAAAATGCATAGTTTTATTTCGCCTGTCGCAACGGAAAAGGTTTTACATTGATTTAAAAAAAAAAAAAATTATAATAATAATAAATACTAAGAAATACTAAAATATTAAAACGTTTGTAAATTGAGATATGACCTTTATCGCTGTGACAAACGATTTGATGTACCCGGGATACCTCGGAATGAACGGCGAGTTCAAATAATGAACTTCATTGTGAACTTGACTTTAATGAAATTTAACGTTCAAGGTTCAATACGTATGAATGAAGTTAAGGTCATATACAACTCGAATCGGCTTTGTTTGAATTGAGTTATTATAGGGTGTCACATTAAAACGCCGGATTTAAATTGCCCAGTATTTTTCGTGTTGTGTGTTGGCTGACTTGTTTTTCTTATCATTGTCACCTATAAACTCTCCGCTATGAATCGCTGTGAAGGTATGGTCGATTGATTTTGTTTTATTGATTTATTTTGATTGTTTCTAACCTTTTGTTTGTAACCATGGTGCGACTGACTATTCAAGAATGCGTTTTGGTTGTTAAGACTTTTTATTGCCATACTGAACGTTACTGAATGTTACGTTGTTGTAATCATTTTACCATAATATAACAAAGCAACAATATTAACTGAACTCCGCTCTGAATCGTTTTTTCGTTAGCAATTGTTTATCGTTGCTTACAGATATACATTAAATTCCCGTCTGTATCTCACCTTCTTGACTTCCCACTTACAAAAGTGGCTGCACCCACGTGCGATGTATGTCCATTCTTTTTTTAAAAAAAAATGCAATCTGTACGTGCGAATTAGTTCGCGAGCGCGTTTATAATTTAAACGAACGTTCCGAATACCGTATAGTATTTTAGACCGCGCGGTTATTAATTTCTGTCCTGACTCCGCGATATTATGTGGCAGTGTTTGCCAACTCGCGGACCGATAATAACACCGCGCGTTGAATATGATTGATATCGAAGCCGTTACGACAACTGACTATTGCACTATACCATGTATATACGAATATAATACAGTAATAATAATATTTCGAAAGCCGAATATTATTGGGTGTGGGTGCATTTGACGCGTGTCACACCTCGGCGAGTTGGTGTACTTTTGACGTTTTCGACCGCACTGCTATTAAACCGATATAGCGACGATCACGTTCAGCCGCAGTCGAAAATCATAATAATAATATTATTATATTTGTCATTTTACTTGGACGGAAATACATTTTAATTATTTGTATTATTCCTTGAAAATAATACCTACTGTTTTCGTTTTACCTTTATTAGCTATACACCGAATCTCGTAACGGACTTGTTTCTGTGACGCGCGGATTAAAAAATATATCAATATTTACATATTTTTTGTAAGACGCTTACGAAAACTGTACACAGGACTGTATAAAAGCTTAATATTATTTGATTCTGAGAGAAACATTGGAATTTAAAATTTTATTTCGTATTTTTATTTTTTGTTAGAGTTTTGCGCTATTTTCAAACGACTTTACGAGACGCCTCCGGTGTGTTTTTGAGTAATATTAACCGAGTATAAGTAAATTTTCATGGGAATGTAGTAAATTACGAATTTTCGCATATTTTACATATTATAATATCCTTACGATGCGTTTTTTCCTCGATCTCCAATATAATTACAACCGAGATTTCGATGCGCTTTGTATTGTTTTCCAAAGTTTGTGCGATACTCGAATTGGTTACAAATTCGTTTCATAGGTATTCGTATTTATATTATATTATCGTACAATAGTAATGTCAAAACCCAGATAATAAGTGACGACAAATATGAGTAACTTGTAGCAACATTTATTACCATGTGCTGAACCCAGCTAAACTCAAGGGGTAAAAACCTCTTCTGGAATTTCATTCGCTCCCCTGACATACAACTGTCAGCAAAATGTATTTATTGAATGAACAATACTCTTTATTGTTATACTTGTTATATTTTATACAGAAATGACCAATGAAAAAAAGTGATCTCCCCCTTTCCCCTAGACGAATTGTCTGGATTCAACACTGTCAATTATTCGATTAGAAACTTCCGAAAGACTTTGGTTTAATTCCGTTGATTTTGTTTAATACATCATAAAAGCCGGTATTCAAAAATTACCGAATAAAATCGGAAAACAGATTAAACGGTTTCAAACAAAAAATAAAGGATTCAAAATCTTTTCCGATATACAGTACATTCTGAACAGGCCAAAGGTGAGAAAAATCGAAAATTTTGATAATCTTGCAGCAAACGGTTCGGCGCTTTGAAAAATCACTCGTATATTTATAACGTAAGCAGTTTGGTATATTATTTACTCGCCTTATTATCAAATCGAATTATTTCAACGCGGAACAATTTCAAAACAATGTGGTTATAGCCAAAAGTCGTGTATACCTACCCACCTAATATTATTTAATATACATTCACGGACGTTTCTATTATTTTTGGACTTCTTTGACACAATCTCTAATTCAATTACCGACGGCGATACTTCGTTTGTCCTATATTAGGTGTTATTAGGTATCAAATTTCATTATAACTCATAAGACCGCTACCGAGCTAATAATATCATTCGCTATCAGAGTTGAATCCAGACAATTTTTCTCGGGGTGACCCACTTTTTTTTCATTGACCATACATTTAATTATTATAAATTATAATTATTTTTTAAATGAATCTAATGTGACGAGTTTTTCTTCTATACAAATCGATTGTCTTTTCGATGAATTTCTGAGGTGTATCTTTTTCGATACTTATTTTCGTGTAATATTCCGATGTTTCTTTTTCCATCCGATTTCGAAGTTTTAACACAACTTGATTCATTGCACTCAATGATCGTTCAACCGACCGTAGCAGAGGCAATCGGTATTATATAATTAATTCTGCTATTTGTCTTAAGTGTTGATGACTAATCATTAAGAAACTTCAAGAAGTTCAGATATTGGATTTAAAAGACTTGAAATCTGAAACTATACAGTCTTTATCGTATTCAAATAAACATATGTACAGATAAACAGTTATACGATTGTTTAATCAGTTTTCACGTGCATTCGATTAAGTGTTTAAATATTGAACACACTTTTATAAGTTTAATCGCAGTATCATTAAGTTTACGATCCGTCTCTCTTATTATGGGGCGATTGAAATTCCAGGCGGAGCGTTTTTCCTCCTCCCGGAGTATACCTGGAATAAACACATTCCATTCTCGTCTAGCCGAATCGTCTTAAAAAACGATAACGATCAACGGAAACTATTGTACAAAGTTCTCCGATACGAGAAACGTAATGTAATCGCGTTCGACACGATAAATATTAACGCGAATAATAATAATAATGGTAATAATATGTTCAATGTGAGTGATGTGACGTTTGAAAGACGTCTCGAAAACTCCGACAAACACTTTAATCGTGTACTGCACGACGACACGATAGACACGATATAATAAAATTTAAAATATATTACAATATTTAAATATTATCTAAAAAAAAAAAAACCACAAACGAAATGGTCTGTAAACACATATTATTGCATAAACGTTAAACATTATTGCGAAAATAATTTTTGTTCTGATACCCACCTGCAGCTATTAAGATCGAATAATTGATTAAAAATGAAAATCTTTACGAAACCGCAGGAGCCAGTCGTTTCTAATAATGTTCATATAATTCTTTATAATTTGTTTTTTTTTTT